TTTGCATGTGAAATTTGAAAATTTTCTGATACATAAAAGTATTTTCAATCTTAAAATGAAAATTACTTTGCATATTGGATAGGGAACATGCAAAAAGAAGAAGAAAAAAAAGGCATGAGAAAAACATTGCTTCACAAACCTTAAGACTTAATAAAAAAAATTGATATTTTGCATGTGAAAGCATTATAATGTCTACTGATAATCTGCCAAATGTCATTAACGTGCTTACTAATTTAAAAGTTATAACATGGAAACTATAAAAAGCACAAAATGGATACAAGGTTGGTCCCAAGGTTCAAGCCCATGCTGAAAGAGTTAATAGAACCTCACAGAATTTTGATTTGTGCTGTAAAAGTCCGTAAATAATTTCAAAGCAAGTAGTTATTTTGAACAGAAAAATTAAAATAATTGAGAAACTGTAGCATCCTTATGGGATTCCATTGAGTATTCAGTAGAACTGAAAATGATAGTCTCAGTATGGTTTTCTCTCCTTTTTGATAAGTCACTTTTTTTTTAAATAAGGGGTGATTTATATCTGATGATTTGTTTTAATTTGTTTGAACAAGAAAGTGAAGCTAAATTTTCTCAGCTTCTTATGTTCTGCTTAATAGTTCAAAATGAAATGAAAGTGCAAGTTCTTACTTAACTGAGTACAAGATAGTACGTTAGGAAGACGATAACTTACTTAAAGCTGACTGTTTTTTATGCAACACGTGACTGTAACCAGTGTTGGATGGCATACTTTTCTTATCACCAAGGTATAATAATATTATCAATTAACACTGTTTTGTCATTTCACAACTATACCAAACATTCTAACTGTTGTAGTATGTTTTATATTAGTTGTTTTCATGACAGGATGAAATATTAAAGTTATTTACTACATGAAAGTTCCTGTTACTTTTTAAGAATTGCAGTGAAAAGGTTTAAACTTGTGAGTATGTTGCCTAATCTTTTATTGTTCATTTGTGGGTTCCACCTATAGACATTTAAATAGTTTTGAACTACATGCTAGTAGTGTACTAAATGAAATTTCAGACATTCATATACATTTATGTAGCATAAATTTCAAAATACAAAGTAAATAGCATCAAGGTACAAACTTTTTTAATGATTGAACCAACAAATTATAAAGTCAAGATATCACTGACACAGCTTTTTTTTTGTTAATATATTAATTTGTATATATTCTGTGCACTATATTCTATTGTTCATGTTAGATGTATCCTTATTATATAAAGAACTGTTCTGCTGAGTTAGGTACCTGTTTTGACATAAAGCATCATGTGATATTCATACATGAAATCTTGTATACTTCTACTGTATAGCTTTAAGATTTTTATGGATGGTTGAAACATGACTTAATTGAATGTAGTACTTTTTTAAATGCCTATTTTTAGATTATGTTTCACATTACATGCATAATGTTAAGTTACAGCATTCATTAGCTTGCGTGATGAAAAACTAAAATACTTCTCAGAGATTTAATTGATAATCTCATGGCAATATCAGTAGGGGAAGTGAAGAGTTTTCATCATTTTTAAACATATAATTGCATCAGTTTGTATACAAAGAACAATAAATATTTTAGTTCACAGTTAACAGTTTTTACTTTCTTTTATTAATAGTTAGATATTTTACTTTCTTTGTAATTCTTTGTTTTCATTCAGTAAATTTAGCAAAAATGTTTCATAGGAAATATCTCAAACAACTCAAGCAATGGAACAGTTTTTGGAACAGGCATAAAGCTATTAGTTGTGCATGGTGTAAATTAGTGGTGCAAATGCACTACCTTACAGTATTGACACTGTATTCTTGATGGAACTTGTAACATTCTTTTGAAGGATTGGTAAAAACAAGATGTGAGTAAATTAAGAAAAGCTACTGGTGACATTTATGTAAGATCTATTTATTACATAACTTTAAAAGGTCGAGATAATTCAAATCTAGACAATGATTTATCTAATTTGTTAGTTGTTCATCAGTAACAGAACTTTAAATAATAAAATTATTTTAGTGACACTGTGGATAATCCTTATTTATTTATTTTTTTAAAGCCTGAACCACCATTTGTAATTACAAGGTATGCAGATATGAATGCTGGGAAATCAATGGCTGAATATGTTATTGGTCAGATCATTAATAATGAGAGAAAATTCTACCACAAGTGGGAATCACAAAAAAAAATGTATGGTAGGTGAAGAAACTTTTATTATAACACACACACACACACACACACACACTTCCTTGGTTACATTTAAGATATTGCCATCAATTTTGGATAATAATTCTTTGTGGTAATTCAAGGATAAAACAGTCTTACAATTACTTGATATCCACAGTAATTGAAGATTCAAGGACATAGTATGTGGAAGGACAGGTGTAGTTATTTATAAAGGATAGTATAAAAGAGAGGAAACAGAATTATTTATAATAAAATGGATTTATGTATCCCAGCCATTGTACTTGGATTGATAAATCCCTGCCCAGCCCTGTTAATGCCCATTTGTTAGTTTGTGATATTCTTGCTGATGGACCTGACTGGCCTTGTCTTTGCTTTGCTGTCTTCACTACTCTTCTGGACATGACCCTTCATCAGTCATTATTTTTGAATTCACAATTTACTAATATGACTACAATGGCTACCAACAGTACCAGTGTTCAACAGCCCTTGACGATGACTGCAGGTGTGGCGTTATCAGTGGAAGAAGTGTCAGCCGTAGTTCATTGGGAGATGGCTTTTCTTCATGTGGGCTGAGGGATCTCCTGATCTACAAACAATTCTGGCATTACCTGTGGATATTGATCAGGACTGTGTAGACTTAGACAGCCTCCCTTCTCATTACTTTGCTGTGCAGGCACGTTCTCAACCTGTTGAAGCACCTAAACCTCAGTCACCATTTTTAGACTTCATATCACAAGTATTTTTTGTCTTTGTCAACAATGTCATTTGATCCCTTCCCTTCCAAACATTGTCATTAACTAGTTCTGAGAGTTTGATTTTCCCCTATACTTGATATTGGGGTCCATGCTTAATGTTTTTCAGATCAGTTACGTGCGGAAATTAGTATGCCATTCTCTCCATGTACTGCAGAGAATGCTTATCCTCACATCTCTATTGCTTGGGCTTCATATCATTTTCTGTGTTTCATCCACAAGGATCATGCTTATCAATTCTGAGCTCTTTCTTTTGGGCTTGCATCAGCACCCTATGCTTTCTTTCAGGTGGTCCATTTGTTTGCTCAATTTTTTCCTTCTTGTGGGCTCAATTTCTCTCCAGTTTTATGGATACCTGGTTTCTTCTGTCTCTATCCTTTGCAGAATCTTCCTCACACACCAAACTTCTCCTCAGGGTTAGTTTTTAATGTGAAGAAATCCATTATCCACCCCACTCAATATCTTGTTCATTTGGGGATGTTTTTCACCTCACAACTCAGTCGAGCCCAGCCTTCCATCCTTCTGTGATCCATGTAGTTTTTAGTTTGGAGGGTGCTATCAGCGCCTTCTCTCCCTGTGCAAGAAGTTCTTTCTCTTTTGGGGACTAGGGAATCACAAGAGGCTCTTATCCCTCTGGGCCATGTCACATGCATTTGTGAAGTGGGTACTACAAGTCCATTGGCATCTCATCAGAGACCCTCTGGATTTAAAGATATCTCTTCCTGCTTCCCTTCAGTCTGACTTCCTCTGTGATTAGACAGGGACAATAAGACAGTGAGGGTATGTACTCCTTTTACCTGTTTAGATGGCCATGTCTTCACAGATGCCTCGTTGTCTGGATGTGGTGCATGCTGCATTACACAGGAGATCTTGGGCCATTGGTCTCAGGAGGAGTTAGGTCTTCACATCAACCTTTTGGTACTCCTTGTTGTTCATCGGGTGATGGTTCATTTTCCATCATTTCTGCAGGGCATGATAGTTATGTTTCATTTTGTCAATTCAACAGTTGTCTCTTACAATTACAAGTCAAGGGGGCACTCGACCTCAGTCTTTATGTTCCTTCACTCTAAATCTTTTCTTCTGGGCTCATAGCCATCAAATTCGTTTCCGAGCTTGTCACATACCGGGTGCTCTCAATCTTGTTGTGGATCATCAGTCGTATCTCTACAATATTCAACCCAGGAGTGGTCTCTTGACCCCCTGGTATTCCAATTGCTATCTTCTCAGTTGGATACTCCTCAACTGGGTGCATTTTCTTCTCCTTTGAATGCCAAGCTTCCTCTCTTTTGGCCATCAGTTCCACATCCTTTAGCTTTGGCCATGGATACATTCAACCAGGATTGGAAGGACATTTCCTTTATGCATACCCTAGCATCTGTCTTCTCCCTTGAGTAATTTCTCTTCTTCAATCTGCTCCGTATCGAGTCCTTCTTGTGGCTTCTTTCTGGATGTCTCAGCTGTGGTTTCCATCCCTTCTCCAGGAACAACCTCCATTACTTCTCCCTTTCTCCTGGTCCCTCCTTTTAAAACCTCACTCAAGGTTGCATCATCCCTCCATTCCCACACTCTGGCTTTATGTGTAGCTTTTTTCCAGTCCCTTGCAACGGGTTAGGGACTATTTACACATGTAGCATCCCTGTTATCTCACACTGTCTATTCCTCATCCATGTTTGTGTATCAATGTAAATCAAGAATATTTCATCATTAGTCTGTTCGGCATGGTTTCTCCCCTTCTTCTACTTCCTTTCCTCAGATATATGTTTTTTCATTGTTGTTTGACAAGTGTCTGTCCTTTTCAAACATTGTGGGCTATAGGGTGGCCCTGTCATTTTGTTTTCGCTTTTTCCTGATTTTGCAGTGTGTTTTCCATTCAAGTTATTTCCCTTCCATCCACAACCCAGGTGTTTCCTCATGTTTCCATGGCACGCTCCATGGGTACTCTTCAGGTGCTTTTGAAGGGTGCTCATCTAGGTAATATTACACTGATCCTGCCATCTTCTCAATGTGGAATTTTAGCTGTAACTGTGAGTGGAAGTAAGTAATGATATTGAAAGCTAATATTTTCGTACACTAAAAGTATATTCTGATAGATTCTTACTTCTTTTCACACTTCCCACCCATTCTGCCCACTTCCGGTGTTGTTTTTCTTGCTTAATCTCAAAGAGAAGATTGGATTGAACTGCACAGATGGAGTCAGCTGTGATTGAAGGGTGAATTGCACTCCTACTGGTGAAGGGTTGTAGTATGCTAATTTGCATGCTTAAATGCAGCTGAACCATGTGGAATTAGGTGGGAGTTCAAAGATAGTGGTGAGTGAAAATTTGTGCACTACAGGGCAGTCAAATCAAGAATAGCTGGAGCTGTGAGTGGAGGTAAGTATCCATTGGAAATATATTTTCAGTGTAGGAAAATATTAACTTTGGATGATATTACAATTTAGATTTTAACTTACCTTTAGAAATCTTTGTTATATGTAGTATTGTTATTGAATATCACTAAAATATAGTTCCATAGTTCTTAGAAATCAGTTATGTATGTTAATTAATGTTCCAATTTATTCACACACCTTTTTTTTCCACATGTAGGTAATAACAGCAGATATTGTGAATCAGCTGCAGTATTTAGTACATTATCTTTTTTTCTGAAAACTAAGAAATTAAAAGAAAAATAGCTTTATCTTAGAATTAAATTTTCTAGGGATTTTCATTACCATGAGTATCGTCTGTTGGATGAACTTACCATTGGAATACTTGGAGCTGGAAATCTGGGATCAACAGGTAAATTATTAAGAGCCCTTCTCTAAGGTACCAATTCACAATACTTTTCCTTCCGTATATCAAATCCACAAACTTCAAAGTTTGTGGAGATCAGATAACTGTATGCAAGTATATCATTGAATTACAACACATTACCTTAGTTGAACAAACAATTTGATACTGAGAACAGGATTTAGTTATTGCAGAAGCAGTAGTGATTTATATCAAGTATTCCCACTTTCATTCTTTACTGCTTAGATTCTGCAGGTTTTCTTTTATTTTCTTTTTCTCCAGTAATTTTTTGATGAATCTTGGGATCCTGTTTTGCATGAACCTCCTTCATCTGATTCTTTTCTTTTAGTGCAGGGATCTCCTCCTTTTTTTTTAGCATGTAAGAAAATAGCAATCACCTTGAAACATATATATGTGATTATTTAAAATTGTTTATAAAAAAAAAAAAAAAAAAAAAGTCCTTAAAATGTTTGAGT